GGATTGAACTTGATAAACCGAAAATGATTCAAGTGGCTAACCACCTAAAGAATCGAAAAAGCTCAAAGAGAACAAAGGAGAAAATCTCAGATTTATTTGATAAGTGAAGTGGTGAAAATGTAAGGTAGTACATGCAAGCCTTTATATAGTAGGCGGAGTAGTCAAAGAGACATACTCAAAAATGACTGAAAATTTAATGAAGTCTTTGACTGAAATAAATAAACTAAAGACTGATTCTTCGGCTGGCCTTGACTGACTCTTGGACTGCCAAGCCAAAAATGACTCTTGAGCTGCCGACCCATGAACCAGACCACGAACAAACCTGGGTCGATAGATGGGTAATGGACTTAACCTCGTTAAAAACTCACCCGGTAAATCCATTGGGACAAACCCGAGTGTAAGAAAAAAGAGTATTAAGCCATCACCCGGACCAGATTAGTTACAGCCATCGTTCATGAGCACGGTCACGATCTTGGGTGATGCGGGGTCCCCTGGTCCGATCTTGATCCCGTTAAGTACAGCCTGAACCGCCCCTGCCATCTTTTTAGTCCTGGATCGCGTCATGGGTCCATCCGGTATGGCCAAGTGTTCGTCCGGAAACTTGATTCCTTTGTCTGGGTCGTCCTCTGGGTCCATGATCAAATCAGCCACTTATCCAATTGTTGATCTACTTAAGCCTGAATCAAAACCAGTGTGGTTTGTAATTTGTATTCTCCAGCCTGGCTCAAGCGGTCTTCTTTGTTCCATAGATGAGTAGGTATCACGCCAAAGTCTTCTTTGATCTTATCAGCCTTAGCTCCTTTGCTTACAGACAAATCTCCTTCGGCTACAAGCTGTTTCTTTATTCCATGCTCTGGTTCGAGCTCTCCTTTCTTGATGATGTTCAGTATCGCTGATAGATAAGACTTTTAAGGGTCTCAGGGCTATCAATCCCCTTGTCAATGTAGTACAAAGAGGTTTATCAATCCAGATGTGGTGTTAGACACTAAGCTATATGATCAAGTTCTTAATTCAAGCAAACAAGAATAGGTTTTGATTAATCTAGAGACAACTATAAACATAAACAGGTTTAAAGACAAATGACAATGACAAATGATGTGAATATGATATGATGGAGGCATGAGATTCTAGACATGATAGTTGGCTAGGGTGCCTTGGTGTTAAACTAGAAATGCTAATGACAATGATGAGACATGATTCAAATGATTAAGAACTCTAATCTAGGTTAATCCTCTCATGAAGGTATTAACCCCTATACTAATCCATTTTCAAACCAAATTCCCATTTGTGAAACATGAATCAATATGCATTAACAAACAGCTCTTAATGATCATTCAAGCATTTAACAAATCATTCCCATGATGAAAAATTACTTAAACCTCTAACACAACTCTTTCAGGAATTTCATCAAACACTTTTGGTGCATGAAATTCCCAGAATCTAGATCTCAAGTGATTATCAAGGATTTAGCATAGAGAACAGCTGTTTAGAGAGATGAATCAATGAATCTAGCCCTAAGCACTCCTAATCTAACACTTTAGCACCCTAACCTACACATCTAGAACCTCATTAAGGTGACTACTCACTAATCATACTAATCTCTCTTAAACTTTTGCAAGTTGAGTAGATTAGCATGATTAATGATGAGAAATGGAGATGGAGATGATAGATTCAAAAGAAAACAGCTTTAAACACCCAGATCTCCTTAAACTCTCTTGATTAAACACTCAAATAAAGATATTTCTCTTCTTAATGGAGTCTTTTCACCAAAAAGGCAAGAGACAAAGGGAATAAAACTTAGTTCTCCCCCAAAAAACCCTAAAAAGTATTTATACCTTCTTAAAAACGAACCGGGTCAGCCCGGAACAAACCGGGTCCTGACCCGGCTTTAATGGATAAAGTGGGAAAAGCTGCGGGTCGGTTCAGTATGTCCCAGGCCGCACACCTAAGTCGCAGTAGATGAAGACTTGTCTTGTGAGGCTTGAATCACCTTGTCGGAGCCGCACGCCTATCTAGGAGTAAATTGCGAGTGTTTCTGCGGCATGGTCTCCTTCCTCTCCAACTCGCAGGGCTGAGCCGGTTTCTGGGGGATGTAGAAACTGTGCGGGTTGGTCTCTATTGCACTTAGGTCGCAGGCTCAAGTCGGAGTGAATTCCGAGTGATCGTGCGGCATAGATCCAGGCGCGGATGACTCGCATGCCTAAGTCGCACGATTGTGGACTTAGCATTTCTCTTGCTCGGGAGCTCCAGACCTCTTCCAGTGATAGTTTACCCGCACATTTCAACTCGCAGCATCAGCATTCAGGTGTTCATCTTCAGGCCTGCGGGTTAACCAAGTCGCAAGACCATCTCGCAGCATCCAGAGCAGCTTAGATCACTTCGCATTCCGGAGAGTGTAACTCCTGTGATACTTGTCCGAATTGAATGATTTCGGTTGCAGAAGACAGAGGACTCATTTATCTCCAACTTTTGTGAAGGAAGTTTCAGTGCTTGGGAGGTGGAAGGCTTCCTGGAGGGCACATCTTTGCAGTGCATGTATACGACCAGAGAGAGGCGTCTAGACATGTGTCCATTCCGGAGGCCGTATCTTCCTGCTCATAGATCCGAATTGAATGCTCTTGGACGTTCTGGAAAGAAAACTCAAATGTCTCTGATTCTCATGAAGGACCCGGAAGCTGAATCGGCCTGGAAGTGCACCGTCCTTCGCATCCTTCAGAACTGATCTGCTCGGTCCGGAATACCTGCGAGACAGGGGTTTCTTCCGACGAGCTTATCTCTCTGCTCACGCGTCCGAATTCTACGATTCCAATTGCTATGAGACCGTGCTTCAATGCTCTCCAACTTCTATGAAGGACCCGCCATCTGAATCGGACCGGAAGGCACCCCGGACAGGTGATTTCTGAGACTCGTTCGCACCCGGAGATTTTGGCCGATATACTTAATTCGCGGTACGTGAAAATGGCCGGTAAAGCTTCCCGCGGTACATGAAAATGGCCGGTAAAACCTTCCTGGCCAGCGAGAATGGCCGATAACCTCCATAGACTCAAGTTTTCCACTTTTTCAAGCTCTGCTCACCATTCCACCTCCTGGATTCATCTTTTCAGCTCCATAATCACCTGATAGACACTCAAAACATGCAAAGACTCATTGGGACCTAATGCATCTCCTAAGTTCTAAAACAAACCCTAGGGACCTAAAATACATGAAATAAAACATGATTTGGAATGATTTATGCAACCTAAATGATGCAAATTATGAACATATCAATCGCATCATCCTCCCCTTGTTGAAAAGGATTTATCCTCAAATCAGGAGCATCTGCCAAGAACAAAACTAAGTTAGAACCATTAGAACTTGAATTTGTATTATGTTTACCTTGCAAGTATGTTTTGGCAGTGATCTGTGTTGGAGTTTGAGGTATTCCATGCTTCCTAGCATTATTTAAGTCAGAGTATTCAATTTCCACACGTCCTCCAGTCGTCATCCCTTTTCCTTGTGTTTTTTGAGCTCCTTTTTCAGTGGTGATTTGATTGTTTAGAAACTCCTTTAGCTTAAGGCTCTTTTTGGTGAAGTTGAGGCCTTCGGATGGATTTTTCAAAGGAAAGATGCAATCTATTTGTCCAAACTGAATTCTGTTCCGGCTATTGTCTTCTAAAGGTTCAGTTGGCCTAAGAAAATCATCCTTATAGTCCTGCAAAACAAGAGATCTTCCACTCGGCATCTCCGGTGCAACATTAGATAAACTCAAAAGAGTTTCCTTATAAGCAGACTTATGACTAAGTGACTGAGAGAGTAGAGTTTTTTGGAAATTACCATATTTGGCAAGGAATTTTGATTGCTTGTAGGTGTTATTCTCAGCCTGTTTCCATTTCTTCTTTTGATCTTGATAAATCTCGAAAGGTGTCATTGGAACAAGAGTGTGCTTCCTGCCTTTTAACTCAAAAGAATACTTGTTTGTGGAGCTATCATGAGTCACTTGTCTATCATACTGCCATTGCCTTCCCAACAGAATGTGACTGGTCTCAATAGGTAGAACATCACTCATAATTTTCTCCTCATATTTTCCAAGGGTTAGATAAACCGGTACTTGGTTGTTTACTCGCATTTTACCTTTATCATTGAGCCAGTGCAGATTGTATGGATTGGGATGCTTCTTCACGGTCAAGCCAAGCTTATTAACCATGTATTCACTTGCTACAATTGTGCAGCTTCCTCCATCGATGATGAGATTGCACACCTTGCCTTGCACATGACATCTTGTGTGAAACAGGTTTTGTCATTGTGCTTCCTCCTCTGCCTTAGCTTGCACGTTTAGTATCTTTTTCATAATCAAAAGATCTCCTGTAGCAGCATATTCCTCTTGCTCTTCCACTGAATCTGAGATATCTTTTTCATCCTCTGATCGATTCATACTCACCATTCTCTAAGAGAGTCAGAACTCTCTTGTTAGGACATATACTAGCAATGTGTCCTCTTCCTTGACACTTGAAGCAGACAATCTCACGAGCTCTAGTAGTAGCTGCTTCGGTTTTGACCTTGAAGTGTAGTTTAGTAGAGAATGATTTAGAAGACACCGCAGGCTCAGCACTTTTTCTTTCTTCTTTGGCAAAGCTTGGTCTAATCGTAGATGAACCAGCTCCAAAAGTTGATCGAGATCCTCTCCGCTTGAGATGTTGTTCAACCAGAACTGCCTTGTGATATATCTCCTCTAGATCAGCATAGCTTTGTATCTCTACTCAGTCTTGAACTTCTTAGTTTAACCCACTCAGTAACCTAGCAATGGCTGCTTCTTCGTCTTCTTTAATACCAGCCTTGATCATCAGAGATTCCATTTCATGAAAATAATCTTCTACACTGCTGTTACCTTGAGTCAAACGCCTAAGTCTCTGGTGTAGCTCCCAGTGATGAAGAACTTCTTCATGAGTTCTTTCAACTCATCCCAAGTATCCACATATCCGATTTCACATTATGTATACACAACATCGTCCTCTCACCAAGGTATGGTCCCATATCCGATTTCCCATTATGTGAGCTGCGATAAGTTTTTTCCATCGCATAGAACCTTTCTTGCAGCGATTACTGGTGGTGATGAACCTACGTCGTTTAAGGAAGCAATGAAAGATGAGCGATGGAGGAATGCTGCATCAATGGAGGTTAAAGCTTTGGAAGCCAATCGAACATGGGATGTTACAGATCTTCCACCGAATAAGAAAGCCATTGGGTGTCATTGGGTTTTTACGATCAAATATACATCCAATTGGGAATTTGAACCCTATAAAGCACGCTTGGTGGCATATGGGAATATACAAGAAGCAGGTTTGGATTATGACGAAACTTTTGCTTTGTTCATCAAGATGACGATGGTTACAATGTTTTTAAAAGTTACAGCAGTGAAGGAATGGAAGTTCACCGGATGGACGTACATAACGCATTCTTGCATGGTGATCTTCACAAAGAAGTCTATATGAAGATGCCTTCCAGGTTCGAATCATTAGATAAAACGAGGTGTGTCGACTAAGAAATTCACTATACGGCATGCGCCAGGCACCGAGATGCTGGTTCTCTTAACTGACTGCAGCATTACGAGGGTATGATTTTATTCAACAAAAACCTGATTATTCATTGTTTACGTTGGTGTGCGGGTCTATGCAGCTATACATACTCATCTATATTGACGATTTGTTAATCGGGAGAATGATCTGATGGCTATAAAGAAATTCAAAGGCTATCTAAGCCAATGTTGTCACATGAAGGACATGGAGACTTTTAAATATTGCGCGGCATAGATATTGCAAGTGATAACTAGAGGTTTTTAGGCTCTAAATAGGGGTTATCAATCCCTTAGCTGTTGCAGCATAAAGGGTTTATCAGTCCAATGTGTGGTAGACACTAGAATATAAGACAGTTTCTTAATTCAAGCAAATGGTGAAGATTGTTTGTGACTAGTGCCTAAAACAAGATTGAAACTAAAACAAAGATTAATGATCAAATAAACAAGCAAGCAATGACAACTAAACAAGATGAGATGATATGAAATGATGGGAGCATGAGATTCTAGACATGATAGTTGGCTAGGGTGCTTTGGTGCTAAACCAGAAGTGCTAATGACAATGATGAGACAAGATTCAAATGATTTAGAACTCTAATCTAGATTAATCCTCTCATGAAGGTATTAACCTCTACACTAATCCATTTTTAAACCAAATCATCATTTGTGAAATATGAATCAGTGAGCATTAATAAACAGTTCTAAAAGATCATTCAAGCAAATAACAAGACATCATCATGCAGCAAATGCTTAAACCTCTAATACACCTCTTTCAGGAATTTCATCAAACACTTTTGGTGCATGAAATTCCTTGAATCTAGATCTCAAGTGATATGCAAGGATCTAGCCAAGAGAACAGCTGTTTAGAGAGATGAATCAATGAATCTAGCCCTAAGCACTCCTAATCTAACACTTTAGCACCCTAACCTACACATCTAGAACCTCATTAAGGTGACTACTCACTAATCATACTAATCTCTCTTAAACCTTTGCAAGTTGAGGAGATTGGCATGATTAATGATGAAAAATGAGATGGAGAAGATGGATAACGATGGATTTTGCAGCTTTAAACACAAAGATCTCTCAAACTCTCTTGATTAAAACTCAAAAAGGGAGATATTTCTCTTCTTAAGAGGAGTCTTTTCACAAAAGAGGCAAGAGATTAAGAGAATAAAGCTTGGTCCTTTGGGTAAAACCCTAAAAACTACATATATAAGTCCTTAAACAAACCGGGTCAGCCCGGAACAAACCGGGTCCTGACCTTGCCTTGATGGGTAAATATGAGGTTTGCCACGGTCAAATGATTCTTGGACAGACCGTGGCAAAGAAACCGTGTCAAGGCTCAAACGGTTGTTCTTGAAGAAATAGGCTGCGTCGGCTTGAGTTAGACCGTGATGCATGGCCGTGTCATGTCCTTTCTAGGTTTGGATGATGATCATATTTGATTGCCACGGTCTTGCTTGGCTCGTGTCTCTTGAGCGTGGCAAAGCAGTGGAACATTCGGTGATTGTCACGGCCTGATGATTGGCCGTGTCTCTTGGTCGTGTCGAGTCCTTTAAGCTTTTGCCGCGGTCAGATGTAGGCCGTATCTCTTGACCGTGTCATTCGCCGAAGGTTGGCACTCTGAAGCAGCATCTTGTCACGATCAAGTGTAGGCCGTGGCATTCTCCCCGTGTCATTCGCTGAAGGTTGGTAAAACCTTTTCACGGTCAAGTATGGACCGTGGCGATATGACCGTGTCATGAGCCTTTGTCTTTTAAGCAAGAACTCGGGTGTTGCCACGCCTAAGTGTAAGGCCGTGGCACCGTAACCGTGTCAAATCCTGAGAGACGTCATAACATTCCACGACTAACCCCAGACCGTGACGTTCTCACTGTGTCAGAGTATGACACTTAGCATAATTTCCATCCTTATACGCCTGATTGACCTGTCTGTCTCTCGCTTTCCGGAACTCACACCTCACAACTCCAAATAACACCAAACTAATTCCAAAGGAAAGATGACTCATCAAGCTCAAACTTTGCTGAAGAAATCTTTGATTCTCGGGGAGTGGAAGGTTCCCCGGACGGCTCATCTCTGCAATGCATTGGAACGATCAACGAGAAACTCTTGGACCAGTGTTCACACCGGAGACTGTATCTTGCAGCACATAGCTCCAACCTGGATGATCTAAGACGTTCTGGAAAGAGCACTTAAAGATCTCGAATCTTGATGAAGACCTCGGCAACTGAATCAGAATGGAAAGGCATCATCCCACGCAATCTCTGTGATTCATCGGACCGGTCTTGAAACTATAGCGAGACAGATGTGCCTTCCAGTGAGCTTAACTCTCTGCTCACGACTCCAAATTAAATGATTCTACCTGTTTTGGATATGTGATCTGATCATCTCCAGCTTTTCTGAATACCCTGTAATCTGAATCGGACGTTAAGACTTCCTGGACAGGCGATCTTTCCAGACGTATGAGATTGCTCCGGAACGAATGCGAGAGAGGTCTGTCTTCCGGTGGCCGTATCTTTCAGCTCGGTGCTCCAAACACATCAAATCAAACTGTTCTGAGATCTAGACTCCATTATCTTAATCTTTTCTGAAGACCCCGGAGGCTGAATCGCCCAGCAAGACCTTCCGGTAAGACGATTTCAGAGATATATCTGTACCCGGGAATTTTGGCCGAGAAACTTGAACAGCCGGTACGCGTTTTGGCCGAGAAATCCACTCGCAGTACATAAGAATAGCCGAGAAAAAGTTCCCACGGTACAGGCTAGCGCCGAGAACATCCAAAAGGCTGCTTTCACCATTTTCAAGGCTCTGATCACTATTTGTTTTCCTGGTTTCACCTTTTCAGCTTCAAATAGCTCCAAATACACCTGATAAACACTCCAAACCATGCAAAGACTCATTGAGACCTAATGCAACACCTAAGCCCTAAAACAACACCTAAGGACCTAAAATGCATGAACTAAAATATGATTTGGAATAAAATATACAACCTAAATGATGCAAATTATGAACATATCAACTCCCCCACACTTGTTCTTTGTTTCTCCTCAAGCAAAAAGAGCAAATGAGAGAAAGAGTTTGGATGCATTGGGAGTTCATATTCCTTAATGAGAGAGTATATTACTAAAAGAATTCAAGGCTCACTGTCCTAGTTGCTAATTCTAAGATGCAGTGCAAACAAGATTACTCACAAAACTTTTGCCATACTCATCAAAAAATGAATCAAGCTCAAGCTTAAGTTTTCACAAACAGCCATAGTTCCAACCTTTTGACATTCATTAATGCTCATGTGAATCATGCTTATGCAAATCATGTGAACTCACTTGTCTTGGGACAGGGTTATGAGACAAAGATGATCTCATTCAATGCTTATGGTTTCAATGCAGCTCAAGGGATCACTCAGGAAGGAATAAACTTTAACAGAATGCTAAGGGTAAAAGGCAACTGCTGCATACAAGAGTAGAATCCCATCTACCCAGTGCCCCAAGTTGGTCTTTCTCCTTAACTCTACTCCCATGAAGATCACATCCTCTCTCAAGGCATTCATTGCCTCATCAACCCACTCCTCACTTCACTTCTCACTCTTTTTTTTTTTCACCAGGGGATTCATCTTTAAACTCAGGCTTCGGGGTCTGAACTTTCCACTTAGCTCTTTCTCACATAACACTGTCTAGCCTCTTTTCTTTTCTTTTCAAACACTTGAGCCTTTTGGCTTCTTTTCTTTTCTTTTTACTTAGCAGCTAGACTTTTCTTATCAAAACACAAGAGCTTATCTTTCTTTAAACAGCAGACCCCAAACCGCTTTCTTTTCTTTTCCATCCCTGGTTCTCATTTCAAACTCTCTCTTTTTCACTCAGTGTTTCCCAAGATATCTTCCTAGCCTACTCTAGACTCATGATGCAGAGCTAGATCTACATGAGACTCTACTCTTGTCGCCCTAAACCCAACACTTTCTGTCAAGTTTATTCAGAAAAAGGCCTCACATCTCTCACTATAGTGTTTCAGGCTTCAAGGAATGTTTGGTTCAAGGCAGGGAACTGTCTCAAGATGAGAGAACAGCTATTTGAGCTAGCAAAGAGTGGTAAAAAGGGTAAGAGAGCTCAAATATTTTAAGGGTACCCATGAGTTCACAATGGCATGCACAAACAATGATAATTAGATTGTCAAATTATGGTTCTCACTTAGATAAGGCTGGAACTAATCAAAGCTTGATTCACTCAACAAGTTCAAAGCATGGATCAGTCTTGATATCTTTCTTGTTTACATGCATCAAAGAACTAGAAACTAGGGCAGTGAACCGAATTCTTAAAGTGATATTCTCTCAGGAAAACCTATCATCACTCCTTGCATTGATGCAGCCTAGATGAATATGCAACTAGACTCAATCCTAAAAATGAGAATGCAACTACATGAGCATTTTTTTGTGAAATTTTTATTTTTTGATTTTTTGATTTTTTTGGTTTTTATATGCACTTAGATGCAACTACATGAATGCAAGCAAGAATGTGACTCAAGATTCAAAGTAGAAAATAAGAACAGAGAAAATATGATTAGTAAAAGATGAAACTCCTCCCCCAAACTTAAATAACACAGTCCCATGTGTTATAAAAGTATGAGAAAGGAGTAAAAGCTACACAAACAAGTAAAATGCAAAGAGAAAAAGAAAGACTATATGCATATGTACAAGGGTTGGAGTGGTTACCTCAATCGCTGAGATCGGATCCCACGTAATACGAGGGATTGGAGGTGGAGCATGATGGTGTTGGCTCTCTAGGTGGACTGCTCTCAGGTGAATCTGGTGGGAAAGCTTTAGCCGGATTGATCCAATCTTCTTTTCCCGTTGGGAACTCACGGTCACGAGCTTTTGAGCTCTCTCCCACCTCTTCTGTTGTGGCTGGTGCAGGTGAAGCGGCCGAGTCT